TCCTAATCCAATTGATTACCTACATTAAATACATTGTGCATTCAATATGGCCTTCTGCAGCATGACATTTATATTAANAGAGGAAGATTGAAACTGAGTTTTAATCTTCTAGTCCAGTCATTTAATGTTCTATTTGCGGAAAAATTCCTACTGAGCTGAATTTTGGTATACACCTTCATTATGGCGTTTTAATGAAGATGTGAAAAATCGACATTGATATCGTGCCGGCTAAAAAAGTTATAAGGGTCAAACGGTCACGAAAATCAGTTTTTCGGGAATATCTCGCAACCTATGGCTCAGAGGCCAATAAAGGTCATTATAAAAATTACTCTCCTACATTTTTCTGTTAAGTCAACCATTTTCGGACTAGAGCACTAAGAAAGCGACTACATTTTGATGATGCACTCGTTTCCGCACCACCTTTGAGGTAGAATGCAAGGCGTGTTTTTTGACATGGTTTCCCCCGTAGGCATAATCAATGAATCAATTTCTTTTCCAAGCTAGGTTTGTATTTGATAATAGACTCGATAAATATGCTGTTGAGCTGCTGAAGAAGTGGGTGGTGATAATTGAAATTTCACAGCTGTGCTTTATCTTGTTAGTTTAGCAAAGCTGCAGTATCTGTAATTGTCAATTTACATTTTCTGATTTTGGAGCACCGTACATTGCTAGTAGAAAATGTATTCCAGCATTGACAAGGGCATCTCGAGCGCAATTTTCTTGTTGGAATATTTCTGCAGAATTGTGTAAATCGGATCTTTTTTCAAACATCTTCATGATTTTAATTTTTCCTTTCCCAAAAAGTGTTGAAGTTGTATCACATCCGGTCATAGCATGTAGAAACAGAATAATTTTCTTGCAGAGTGGATACTTGTTGAGGCTCTCAGGCGAGTATTTTTTGTTTCAACATTGTTTTTCCTGGTTTCTTAAAAAAAATGGATGAAGGTCGATCAAGTATTTGTGTGCGTGCTATGAGAAGTACCAATACATCTAATAATTGTAGTATTATTCATTGATTTTTCAATTGCTGTTTCAACTATTAAGACGTCAGCATCATCACGTGATTGTCTTGTAGAAATATCAACTTTTTCGAAACTGTCAATGAACATTTCAATAAATTTTCTTTTGTTGAATCGATTGGATAAAATTTTTTTTTGATTTATAGGAACTTCGATCGATTCATTGAAGTGCACTTCAGAAGATGTAAAAACGGCTGCGGTTCGTCTTAGTTGTTCCATCGCCTTGATATTTTTACTACTATCGGAGTAACCATCAAAAATGACAACAGTATTTTGACCAAAATTGTTTGATGAATAATTAATATATTTGTTAATGATAATATTGAATGTATCATTTTTTTGCCATACAACACGATGCATAAAAAGTCCACCATCAATTATGTATGTTGCATTATCACAAACTAATTGATAATTAATTGGCTCCAAGTATTGATATATTTTTGATTTTTGAGTTTTTATCATGCCAACATTATCAAATAGTGCTGTTGGATACGAACTTAATTCATATTGTAAATATTTACAAAGATTTTCCTCAAATTTTTTATTTAAACTAATTCGTTGAAATAGCAATTACGGATCGATGGGTACCTGAGAGTTATGAACCATGATAGAAGTGTTTACTGATGATGATGGAAGAACACTGTCAGAGCGTTTTAATGTAATTGTAGAAGTTCAAGAAAACTTAAATACATTGATAAAAAGCAATAGAACTGACGCCTTTTATGTATACGGTATACAATACCCTATGTGAGTGAATTCTACTCGCTTCCTCAGGGCTCTAGTCCGAAAACGGTTGACTTTGCAAAAAAATGCAAGAGACATTTTTTGTAGATAATCGTATGAGGAATAATTTTTATAATGACCTTTATTGACCTCCGAGCCATAGGTCGCGAGATATTCCCGAAAAACTGATTTTCATGACCTTTTGACCCTTATAACTTTTTTAGCCGGCACGATATCAATGTTGATTTTTCACATCTTCATTAAAACGCCATAATGAAGGTGTATACCAAAATTCAGCTCAGTAGGAATTTTTCCGCAGATAGAACCTTAAATGACTGGACTAGAAGATTAAAACTCAGTTTCAATCTACCTCTTGAAGATTATCACTTGGTGATTGAAACACGTGTCGAGGTGTTGAAAATAACGTTTTGGTAATGGGAATGAACTCCAGTAATATTCATTACTACACCAAAGGTTCCATCCAAACAGTGCATCAAATGTCTAATTACTAACATTTTTCAACCATCCAAAGTGAACAAACCAAACCAAATATATACTAGTAAAATCTGGTAACACCTGAATTCTAAATTTATCAGAGACTTCCTGACACTCCAATGATCTGTTGTACGAACATATTTCAAATAGTCATATACTGATCTCATGATTCATCTAATTCACAAATATTCAGTATGATAACCATAGATGAATCATTCCTGTTAAATTTTATTAATTCAATGCTGTTTTGATGCTAATAGAGAAGTTGTACATTTCATTTACCTCTTTGGATGTTTTGCAACTACTTGCGAAGAATTATTTCTTCATATACAAGGAGATGAAAAGTTTGCGCTGAAATATATATTTTTTCATGTCTGATAGAATTTAATATTTTCTTCATTATCTACAGGAACAGCAAAATCTCTCGAACGACCATGAACATTTTTAGCTAAAAAATCTTACGAAACTTGGGAAGCTATTTCAACATCCATATATTTTAGAGAGCCTACAGAAAAATCATTCTTACTTTCCATGTGGATTTCAGAAAGATATAAAACTAATAAAATTATCATTTTCGGTATTATTGGATGATTTGAGAAAATTGCAAAATATCATTTTGTTTCTCTATCATTGAATTATTCCATAACACAGAAGATTAAATCCAGGAAGTAGGTACATAACTAAAACTGTAGTGGTTTATTTTTTGTCTTATCAGGCTGGATAATATTCCAGAAACAGGATGGAAGTGGTCAAATTAAAAATATTCTCATAGTACTATTTTATTCGTAGGTAGAAAGATATAAAGAAAAAAATGGCGTGTTTTCCAAGGAAACTGATAAAATAAGTGAACGTCGGCGTCAATCATAAGCATGAATATATAAACATACATAAGTTTGATTATAAAGTTTCCATTTTATTTCTAAAACACCGAACTGGATCAAGATAAAGAGGTCTATGACCCAGGATTCGAAAGTGTTTTGCCTGTTGATTGCAATTAAAGTAACCTTAACAAATAATTGGGATTGAGGTGTCAATCGATTTGGAATGTCATATAGAAATTTTCTGAAATATTTGAAATTCCGCGCAAGAAAGTTGCGCGGGGAAGAAATTTCCCTCTAACTTTTAAACAAATGGTAAAAAAATGAGAAACTGTTTTGGATTTCTGCAAATGTTTCGAGAAGTATTGCAAATATTCGAAGCATGAAAAAGATCATCTAAAGGGAAGAAATTTCCTGAAAAGTCTCCACTCCCGAAACTCTGCCTCTATGTATTTATTAATTTAATTTAGGGATGAAAAAGGCTAAAACGGGTATTTGTTAAGTGAATGGTTGATAATCTTTTTATATTATTTTTTGCATTTTAATTATCTCAATTATTAAATTTTTATTCTTGTTGTTCATATACAGGGTGTTTCCTAATTAAGGTACGAAACTTAAGAAGGTGATTCGTTAGGTTGTTTCAATAAAAACAAGTTCTTATGAACATTTGTCCAGAGGTTTCAGTTAGACGAAACAGATGCCCTATTTTCACCTCTAAATTGAATTGATATTGGTGGCAGAGTCCCGGGAGAGAGGACTTTTTTGTAGTGAATTTCTGCCCTTTTATGCAAAGATACATGCAAATAATCAAAACAGTTTTTTATTTTTAACTGATTTGTTCATTAATTCTATTGTGATTTTATGGGTAAATCTTCAAATTTTCAAAAAGGTTATAGGTGCCATTCCTAAAGGAATGAAAAACTTCAATTAAAACTTTTGGTGGAAGTGGGCGGAAAAGCGTTGAAAAGGAACTTGTTGCCTAGACCCTAGACCATCCATTTCCGGAAGTTTAGTTTAGATCAATGTCAATTTGCACAGCTCTCATTATGTAACTGTGTTTTTGTTGTTACTTTTTACGAAGGTATATAGCGCCACCTATTATCCAGCAGTACAAATTTCGGTTCATGACGATGCAACAGGGAACTTCTTGGCATCGACCAGATAGTTTGAGCGACGACGAGTAGAGGGCCATAGTGGTAAGATCTCATTTTGTAAATAGATTACCAAGAAGATGCGTAGAAATAGGAACCTCGGTGTTAACGATTCCCTTTTGTTCTTAAAAAACGCTTGATTCGAGAAATGAGATAGACCCAACTTTGTACATATGTTGATATATGGTGCAAGAATTGAAACCTGGCGCGACTATTTTGTTTAGATCTTTAAATTATGGCTAATAATGTAAAAACACATCTTTCACCAAATATCGAATTTATTCCCAGATGTAATAAACAATATGGAGAATTTACTTGTGAAGTTGCATTAAAAATAATATGTAATTTCAATTTTTGTTCCATATTTTTATTAGTATTACTAGTTTACCTACTGATAAACAAATAAATGGAATAAAAACAAAAAAAATAGTAAAAACGAATAAGCAATGAGTATAAAAATCAATTTGTAAATCAAATGAATAACTGTGAGCTAAAATTTATTGGATCTCTTTCTTTATAAACAATGCCATAGGTTGAGAATTATTTTACAAGAGAAAGGGGTGGACCAAGGATATTCTATGCATCTTGGATCTTAATGTTGCGATAGGTATTTCAAAAATTGACTAGAAATCCATTGCTATAAAGATCTATATTGTGCTGTTTTTAGACGCAATCCAACGAATTATTATTAAACATTTCCAAAATTTTATCAAATTTTCAGATAGATATGTGACTATTGTTAAATTTTTGACTTCAAACTTGTGGGTTGAAATTAAGTTGGAAACTTACCTGAAATGCCAAACAGGAAAATATAAATCTTCTTTGCCAACATTTTTCATGAATTTTGATCATCCAACATTTTTCCCCTTTCACATCTCCTATGACTTCTATTCATCTACACATCATTCTTGGTGGAACCTACATTAAGAGATGTAATTATTCAAGATATTTATAATAAATGTACTGTTTGTTTCACGAATATTTCAATTTTGTTTTCAGAAATATTTAGTTTCATTTCCGTTATCATGATAAATAATGAAAATCACCATCTTCACCACTTCACATACTACTAAGATTATCCAAGATATTTATAATAAATGTACTGTTTGTTTCACGAATATTTCAATTTTGTTTTCAGAAATATTTAGTTTCATATCCGTTATCATGATAAATAATGAAAATCACCATCTTCACCACTTCACATACTACTAAGATTATCCCTAGACTGAAAACTGACATCAGGTTTTTATGAGAATATGACAATTAGTCATTCAGTCTGATTACATTATTGATAACTAACTTGAAACAACAAAATATGATCGAAAACGTTATCCGCTCGTTGTATAGAGAGTGTAACTATTTTTTAGAGAAGAAATACCTATAGTACAATTCCTACTAACTTGTTCATCACACATCATTGTCCAATGCTTGCTGAAAATCCATATCACAACCTTCTAATGAGATTAGTTTTTATTTTCATTTCAAAAGATTTACTAAACCGCTATAGATTACTCAAGCTGTATTTGATTTACCACTTTCAAACTGAAACATTTCATATTCTAAAAACATTACTATCATTCGCAGTCTGATTTAATCTAGTTTCCACTACCTGAAAAGAGAGGATACAATCATTTAATTAACTAATAAAAGAAGCTAAATACAGGTAGGAATATTTATTTACCATGATATTGTGGTTCATGTCCGATGTTTTATATAAGTTAAACTGGAGGAATATTTGAAGCACGCATGAAATAACATAAAATCAGTTTCCAGAATGGAAAACTAAATCCAACGTATGTATTTACCTCTGTAAAACCATGAGAAAAAATACCAGTCATGGGAAAAATACCAGTCACGGGAATAAATACCAGTGTGGTCCAAACGGAACTGGCTGGTATCTTGATCGTCACAAAGGAAATAACCAGTAAAGGAATTTCTGGCAAAAACAGAACAATCTGCACTGACAGCAGACAAGATTTTCCTTAAACCTAGCTTAGATTACTGTTAAATACATATGTGTGAACTTGTTAATTATTTTGTAAAAAATATGCATTGCCGTACATGAATAAATAAATAAGTACTAGAGTGCCACCAAGATTTATACAAAACCTCGGTAGATAAGAACATTATCCTGAGGTGGGTTAAAGGGCAGGACAGGAGTAAGGTTAATCGCATTGCCGACTCTTTAGCCAAGGAAGCGGCTGAACTGAGAATGTTAGGACCCTACGGCCAGATGACTTCGACAATTGCAGAACTAGTCAAATGTTACACCCATGCTCAATCCCTAAAGAGATGGAATGGAATCAAAGGATGCAATCTTGCCAGGATCACCCTGGGCGACCCTGGAAAGCTGGCGCCGAAGAAATATCTGGCGATAACCAGGAAAATTCTACGCTTAACAGTAGGATTTCTGACTGGCCACTGTCAACTAAGGAAACACCTCCATAATATGGGGCTTGTGGACTTACCTCTATGCAGGATGTGTTAACAGGAAGATGAGACTGTCTGGCATATCCTATGCGAGTGCCCGGAGTTATCGTCAATAAGGGAGTGTGTGTTCGGCGAGTCTTGGCCTACACCTGCCGATATAAAGGAGATGTCTTCCAGCGACCTGTCCACCTTCCTGGAAAGGACAGGATGGACGACGACCTAGGAGGACAACTCCTCGGGAGGATGTACAATGGGTCACATGTGGCCTAAGTGCTGTGGGCTTACACTCACCCTCCCTACTCTACAGATGACTTCAGTCATGAATTCAACATATCATTTCCACGAAAAGGAAGAGTTGGACGATCAAATCGACGTGAATAGCTCCCCAGATAATTAGTTTATCACCCCATAATAATCAATAATAATATTTATCAATTTGAATTTGACCACTTAATGAAATGCAGAGTTGTCAACCGTAGCGGAAATCCGCTATTGTAGCGGAATTTACTCGACGGAAGCGGCGTAGCGGATTTGAACATAAAGTAGCGGAATTTTCTATAATCAATATTGAAAAAAATATGAAAGAAAAGAGGCAGTGGACAGCACTCTCCTTCTTCTTTTCGATTCAATGGCCTCAGCAACTAAGGCTATCCGCAGACAGCACTCGAAGCTGACAGCTAATACGTTATAGTCTTGTCTTGGTAGTGAGGCCATTACATGATGAATGAGAAGAAAGTTTTTGAATATTTTCATTCATATCATAAACCGTATAACACTCCATACTTCGAAACTAACAGTCTCGACTGTCTCGAGTATTATAACTTGTATGAAACAAATTACAGTAAAAATAGAAGATAGTTCATCTGATTATGATACGAGCGAAAGAGCTATCGCTATACAAAAAGTCTTGGAAACAAACTTTTTATCAACATTGTTTGTCTGATCTCAACTTGAAAGGATGGATTAGTCCTGTCGCGAATGATCGTCCAAGAGCTCAGTGTGACTATACATACGTGAACAAATTGATTTCTATTTTAACTTTTCAAAATAATTTTTTCAAGCTAAGAAATATTTGGTCGAGACGACAGCTTTCAAAAATTAACTGCTGTAAACTTAGAAAATTAGGTATAGGTACCATCTGCTGAGTTGCGAGGTTGAAAATTATCATGATCCTGATTACTTACATTAGTGACAGTTCAGTTTGGTGGTATCCGAACGGTACACAAACTACAAACTGTAAGTTCTGTGGTATTCAATTTTGAATAGGGCGCATGAGCCAACTGATTGCGTCAGATATACAAGCGTAGCGGAATATGAAGCAGTGTGGCGGAATTTTGATTCATGTGTAGCGACTTTATAGTTCTACTTGTTGGCAACACTGATGAAATGGCTATATCCGCTCTTCACGGGTAGTTGAAATTAGATAAGATCAATTATCTGATCGGAACTTGAATCATAGTGCTGTTTTTCAAATAGGAAATGTTTCAATCTAAAAATAGTTAATCAAATCCAGTTCGAAATAGCTATTGTGAAAATCAAAATACGAGTATATCTAATTAGTGAGTTTCAATTGAAATAATAGTTTTTCCCTTTTGATTTCAAAATCATTTGTGATGATACTCTCTCCTAGTAATATAAAAAAAATCATGGAATTCCCATGCATATTGAGTATTAAAAGAAATGATTGTGTAGCCGGCAACGCCGACGAATGAAAGACTAAGCCGCATTCTTGGACTTGACCTTACTGATTATGCCGATGACTCAATATCAGATTGCATTATATTGCATCGATGCATTCGGATGCATTTCTTGGAATCGTTCATTCTATTGGCATGGAAGTTTTAGATAAATGAATGAATTCGAAATGGCAGCAAAATTATCGATGTTGTTATTTGCTAACATGTTGGCCGGGAATTTGAAAACAAATTCGGATCTTTGGTGTGACATATCTGGACCTAAATACAAGCATTTTTCCAAAACATCAGAACTGCAATCTCATCTCGACGCGCGTTTCACCAACCAACTTGGCGTCTTCAGGAAATGAAGAAAATTCATTCCTAACTCTAAAACAGATCTATAAATATTTAAAGGCACACTTTACATTTACGATACGCATTAATAATTTCGGGTAGATATTTGTGGGAAGTTTTCTTGTAAAAGTTCCTGCAACAGACTGATATGTTTGGAATGGGACCTTAGTTACTGTTCTTAGTTCTTGTGCCACACTTTGCTACATCTAGACTTCCGAAAGCATCCAAAAATCTAGTGTCATGTGTAATCTAGTGATTGGGAGAAGTGCTTGTTTTTCGATTTATTCTATACTCCAAAGGTTCCAATTTTGCCATTGATATCTGGACCTAGTGAAATATTTCATATAGCCAACTCCTTGGTTTGTGTACATTTAATAATTATACAATTACCAATAATGTGTTCTTGTGAGGATTATTTCGGCCTGTTAATTATTTTATAAGTTCGGGTGTGGAATTAGACAAATACATTGTTTTTCTGTAAAAAATTCAATGAAATGGATCGTACAATATGCTGAAGTTCTTCAAAATCTTTCACCATCTCGCCCAAGTATAATGTTTTTTGTTTCACATAATAAATGCAAAAAATTCTCATTGTCAATCCTGAGATGAATAATAAAAGTTTTTGATATTTACCAACTTCGCTCCTTAGTCAAATTCGTCAATGAGATAACACCTCATTTCTAGTTGAATTGATGAATTGATTCAACATTAGTGGGAAACTGCCTGTGCCTCAGATGGTTCAAAACTTAAATATGTTAGTTTTTCATCAAATGGTTAAAAAGTGAAAAAATAAAACCCCAAATAGTATATATTGGTGGGAGCGTGTACATAATTTATGCTACTTACTTTCGAATGATTGTGAAAAAACTACCATCAAGCTGCTTGTTTTTTCGAATAAACCAGACCCAAATCGAAACAATCAATATTTTTACTTTGTGGAGGAATATCAGTATTTCCATAAAATCTCTCTGCTCACATCAGTTCTTGAAAATTTTCCGATTAGTAATTTTGTCTACTGATCTTCTGAACCTAAACGATGTTCGTTTAGGTTCGTAAATTGTAAACATGTATTTATCAACTAACTTCTAATTATTGAGTGTTATATATGCATATAGAAGTGTGTACCAGACGTAATTATCTACGTAGCTACGAAAAATGTGGCATATTTTCAAAATGAATATGATCAAACCAAATATCCTTCCACAAAATTAACAGATTTTGTAGGTTCCTAAAACATCGTTTGAAGTTTTTATAGCAAAAAAGAGAAAAGTTTCTACAATGCTTAATTGGTAGATTTTTGTAAATAAATACAAATACGGAATATATTCCTGTATAGACAGTTTACAGTAGAAACTTGATTAAATGTGGATATGTTGTAGGCGAATTTAAAAAAACATCAGTATAATTGTTTGATACTAAAAAAGGCATGACAATTTACTTTACGAACTGCAGAAAACGCAAACCCCCTTCATAAAAGGTAAATTAGGATGGCAACTCCAAATGAGAAACTTCTTTCTTCCTTAAGCTTTCGTTTCAAAAGGTAGCAGAGTGGTTCTGTAACAGTATCGGTAGCTAGAATAGAACAACGAGATCCAGACTGTAAGTAACTTGAAAAAAACTCCCTCACGATTACTGCTCAATTTACATTTTCATCGTACACATCTCAAATATACAAAGAAAATCTTGTAGTTTATAATGGGAAGTTGAGAAAGGCTCGAATCACGATACTGAAGTGAAACATCATTGTGATGGTTGATCACTATCGGACTCTGAAGAAAATTGTCATGCTTCAAAGAGGGAAAAACAATAAGATTCACCTTCTATATCTGAGAGGAAGCTGAGCACTAAGAAACATTTTAGTACAGACTATTCTATAAAAAAATAGGTTCGAGAATCTTTGAAACATATGTATTTGATAATATTATAATTTTATCCGGAGTGATCTAGTGAACTAGATAGAAGCGTCTACCTATTTTCACAAAATAATGGTGATTTACGATCCAGATGAATAGTTGAACCTGACTGGTTGCCTATTTTTTATAGATATTGATTTTATAGATATCGAATAAACTTTTTGAATTGAAAATATATCTATAGTTCATATGGTAATATTCAAATAATGTAAGAAGTTGATTTAAAAAAAGATATAAAATAGCTGTAAATCTTTTGTGACCTTGTGAATAATTTTCAATGGTGTATCACTAACTTACCTTCCGACATTTTTGAAATGGAAACAAGATCATCTTCCACCTTAAAAGATTTTCACCCGTATCGATCCCGGTTTGACTTCCTGAAAAAAAAAATCGACTCATTACTAATTCAATGTGTTATAACATAATTATTCATAACGAGCTAGATATAGAAGACCATCCCTGAGAGTTGCTCATGATAGAGAAGCACTTTGAGGATTGAAGTTTTCAATTATAACATTGTTTTATGGAATGAAAAAACTGGAAGAATATCCTAACTGACAATGAGCATGTTACAGAAATCGATATCAACGAAAACTTGAATCCTAAGAACTATGAAATTTTTTAATTCAAGTTTGATTGTAGAAGAGGACAATGGCAATGAGCCATAATATATTTATCAATTGCATATTTATCATTTGAAAACCGAATTTTTAAGAAACCGTTTTTGTACGAAATAATGCGAACAATTTTTCTTATACAGAATTGTATGGCGATCAAAAAAGAGTTCAGATGGTATCCCGATTTTCTAGGAACTTTCAGAAGTTGTTCACGATAAAATAAGGTCTAATAAAAATTTAGCTGGCCTCAATTTACCAGCAGAAGGACCTCTCGAGAGTCTCGTAAATCTGAATTATATTTTATATTTATTCCAGATATTTGTAACAAAAATCGTTGATCACCTTGTACGCGTATCCACAATGGGAATTTACAGACAATTTCCTGTTCAGTACCTAAAGTTGATGTAATTGATTATTGCCCCACGGTAAATATTTGTGTGGGACTGTACAGAGGACATTCTCCGAATTCTTCGACTTATCTTCCACGTATAACTAACGAGTTAAACGATTTCTACTTTGATATCTCTAAAGTAATATCACAACGTATTCTTCTACTGTGGGGAATTCAAGGTTCGAATATAGCTTCGATAAATCAAATTTAATATGTCGGTAAATAATGCACATTTGTCGGGAAAATAAAACTATCTATTCTGTCATTGAAATAGATCGTAAAACAAATTATTAATGAACTAGCTCTAGGGTGAAGCGTGGCCTTTGACGCGGTATTTATAGACATGCGCCGCCGGCCCCCTGCCGGTGCCGCCGCAACCGCTATGTCCCTGCATTTTGAATCTGTAATATCCTTCGAAAATTCAAATACATGCTGTGACGGGTCATATTGATCTATATTAAATGCACAATGTATTTAAGGTACTTGATTGGATAAGAATTAATGCGGGTTAGCTTAAAATCGCTTCATAAATAACCCATTATTTCTCTAGGATAGAAAATGTTTATTGTAGGTTATCCTGCAGCGTTTGCAATGGAAGCGCCAAAAATGTGTTCATTTACTACATCACATTAGAAACCTCTAAAAGTATCAGTGTTTCTCTATTATTCGATAAATGTTATATACATATGAACCTTCCACCTGAATCACTCTTATCTTCAAAAAAAACACATCAAAATCCGTTGTGTAGTTATAAAGATCTAAGAATACATAGGAACAGACTATGTAGTGAAATGGATATAAGATGGTCTATTTAGGGCATTGAACATTTTCCGTGATGTATTGATTACTAACGATGAATTTTGCCCTTTATTTAAATTGCTAGTTTTGATATATATGTTAGGTTAGGTCCATTCATCTATTCGACCCTCCACCGCAATCCGCAAGAGTTTATTGTGGCTCACACCTATTCACACTCGACCAAATAAACCAAGCTTCTTAACGAATCCGATTAGTTTGTATAGTGAGTGGTAAGAGTACGGCTCTGCCGAACTCTAAAAACCTGATTCGGTCCCCAGCGGGACAGGCATAAAGTGTGTGCTCTGCTGTTTCATAATTTTACAAACATAAGCGACACATACTGTCTTCCGACAGTCCCAGTCTCTGCATATGATGATTCAAATGACAGTGACCTGTAAGAAGGCCTGTTAGACATCGTAGTTCATCCCTACTGTAGTCCAACAAATGTTTGGTATCAAGCTTCGAAGGCTGAATAAACGCATAAGAGCGAGCCAATCCGGAAAGATTCTGCCAGAAGTCCATAAATCTTCTTGCCATCCAGGAGTTCAATGTTTGTTTGGCAAAACTTAAAGCAATGCAGTACTTGCAGCACCCTCCTTTGCAAGGGAGTCAACAGTTTCGTTGCCTTCCAGGTCAGTATGGCCAGGAATCCAGACCAGAGACAAATCTTCCTATCGAGGAGAGTCGTTTTTGGCAATCTGCTACCAATTTAGACGTCGCTCGGTAGGAGCCAAGAGTTACCAACGCCGCTTGATTGTCAGAGAATATTTTTATTGACTTGTGTATGATGTTGGATTCTTCCAATCTCATACACAATTCAATAACGTGAATTTCCGCTTGGAATATATGAAATGATATATAAGTTTTAACGTTTGTTTGAAGGTGATTGACAATGTTTCGTGATGAATTTCACTGGTTCGGACTTCCATTGTCTACTATATAAAATGATTTGAAATCCCTGAAACAAGTAAAAAAGAATAATTAAAAAGAATAGTTGAAAATAACAATTATATTAAGCAACAATAAACCTGAAATGAAATGATAGTGAAATAACCTACAAGTAAAAATATAATAATTGAATAAATAAAAATTGAAAGAATGCAAAAAAAGAAAATAATAAAAATAAAAAAGTGTAGAGATTCCAAGTCACGTTAGTTCACGACGTTTCGATTGTTGGTATCTACAATCGTCTTCGGGTGATGACTGGACTGATTCCTCCGAGAGATGACTATTTTATAGGTCGTTGAAATACTTTCACTTTCTCTACTTTCCATTTTCCGCTTCACTGATTCCGTGAGAGATGACCGTTTTGGCGGGAGTTGGTCATTTTTCGTTTGATGATGGGTTTCCATATGTTTCGTATATCTACGCTGGCCTGGCTGAATACGTTGTTGGACAACATGTATGCGGCTTCCTTAAATTTTCTCCTGAACCAATGTTCCTCTCTGTGCAAGATCTCAGCTTGGGACCACTCGATGTTGTGTTGATGGGTCCAAACATGGTCTGCTATTCCTGATTTGCTGGTTTCTCCTCGCTGTGTGTGCTTCTTGTGCTCGGCAATGCGAACATTCAATGGCCTCTTAGTTTCACCAATATAGGATTTTCCGCACTCACAGAGTATCCGGTAAATGCAATTCTTGGAATCGCAGTCCGCGTTTGGGGGCCTGGTTTTCGTGAGGCTGCTACGGATAGTGTTACCGGATCTGAAACAGGTTCTAATGTTGTACTTGGAACCAATTCTTCTTATCCTCTCCGATAATCCTCTGATGTAGGGAAGTGCAAGCACTGGTTGTGACGGCTTCTCTTCCTTGCGAGGCTCCTGCTGTCTTTTAGCCAAAGTCTTTTCTACCATCGCTTTGGAGTATCCATTCCGCTGAAGATCATTTTTGATGATGTCTAGTTCCTTCTCGAGACCTTCCTTTGTATTACAGAGCCCAAAAGCACGGTCTAATAGAGTCTTGATGATTCCTCTTTTTGTCGATTGATGGTGGTTGGATTCGTGGTTCAGATACTGTCCCGTATGAGTGGGTTTTCGGTATACAGATGTTTCCCACTTAGTGTCGGTCCTCTTCACCAAAACGTCTAAGAATGGCAATTCATTGTGGATTTCCTTCTCCATTGTGAAAGTGATGGAAGGTCTCACGCTGTTGATGTGTTTCAGAAAGGCGTCTAGTTCAGTATTCCCATGGTTCCATATTATGAAGGTGTCGTCAACATATCTCAACCAGACTCGAGGTTTCTTGTGGGCTTCTTCAATGGCCAGAGTTTCAAACCACTCCATATATATGTTGGCTATGACTGGTGAAAGTGGCGATCCCATTGGCAGTCCCTCATCTTGTTTCAGGGATTTCAAATCATTTTATATAGTAGACAATGGAAGTCCGAACCAGTGAAATTCATATAAGTTTTAATTAATAAAGAGAATATTGTTATCATTACTGAGACTGATGAGACTGAAACATGGATGTTAAAATAATCTAACAAATAGTTCTTCTCTTCCCTATCTCCTTAATATCAAATCACTATTCAATATGAATAACTGGTGCAGAATAAAAAATTACCTCTCGATAGAAGTACGTTCTATATGGTAAGCTTCAGTAAACCTATATGATAATAATTTCAACAAATTTAATCGAACAGTTGACTAACTCTTTCGATTCTTGAACATGATACCTCTTTCAACAATCTGTACCAACCGGCACATATCTTTTGTTGGATGTTCATTATATTCTGTCTCTGCCCCTTTGTTTTTTTCTTCGGTCAAGATTTTGATTATTTTCGTTGGTCGCCCTATTTTGTTCGGATGATGTTTGATGTAGGTTCATTTCTCAGTTGATCGATATGCGCTTCCGATATCCTAGCGCTAGTTCAGAGCCCATACACTGAGTTTATTATCCATGCCTGGCAAACTCTTCAGCTTTTAATGAACTCCATATGAAACCATAATTTTAATGGGAATTAAATGACCAAGTTGTCAAGTTGGGAGTCGATTAGTAGGAATATTCTCGAATATTTTCACAGGATTATTCACTTTATGAGAAAATTAATAATGATATTCATCTATAAATCATTGATGGAAGCTAGAACTGAAAACCTTGAGGTATAATAAATCCCAAACAAGCCCTGTTTCCAAACACCAGAAATGCATTTCTTCTTGACACCCGTTTTACTAACCGCATTGGTGGAGATGAAGTAGACTGAGCTTACTAAATGTGTGCTTTCGATTTCTCTCATATTCCAATAGAAAACTATTGGTCTCAGTTAAACGCTAAATATGTTGAAGCTCAAGATATTAAAAAAAACTTTTTCAGTCAATTGTTTACGTTTGCAATTTTTGACGGTCCTCCCCCAAAAGTTTCATAAATAATTCAAGTTAGCATTCTGAACCGAATGACATCTTCATCATAATTTCGAACTTAGAGATCAAATTTTCGATAAAATTGCACTTGAGAACTAAATCATTAACCAAATACGGTGACGTGAATTTTCATTCAGATTTATCAAAGACATAAATCGATTCAAAAATCTCGTGTCTGACAACGACACCGTCAGGCACCGACCCGAACAAAAG